GAAAGCCAGATTTAGACCTATATATTTTTTTAATTGTTACATCATTTTGAACTTTAGATCCAATTAATTAAAAGAAGATTTATGGAATAAAAAACGCATAATTAATATTGTTTTCAATCGATCTGCATAATATTCTCTGTAACCACTTTCAACATTCAATTTTTTTTACAGCATATAGTCGCAGATTTTTTTTTATTACTTTGGATGGAGAATAAACACCTTTTAAAATACTTTTAAAATATTATTAAATCATATGAATGTTTAGTTATCATGGAAACTGTGTCTATTTTACTTAAGTATTTAATAAAATGCAGCTACTTTTATTGATGCAACTCACTTAAATAAGATTGATTGTACACTACTTAGGGGAGTTTTTGAGAATATTTCACTTATAAAAAGACGTCACAATACACAGGTGGAGGGTTTCAATTTTTGATTTTAATCGGCACTTACGGCCATTTTTAGCATTGGGAAATCTTTATCGTACCGTCTGTTTATAAGGTTTAATCCGATGACCCGTTACTTTAACTTCTAGGTGCCGATCGAAGAAATTTGCCACCTATTTCTATCGATTTAAACTCATGTCACTCAAATCACGGAGCGAGCGCTCTACCGACTTACATAAATAAGAAATTTGACATCAAATTAAAAAAAAAAATTCTAAAAAACAAATGAAAAATACGCACCATACATGGTAGACGGCATTCATATGGGTTAATACAACAGAAGCATTTACTAAAAACAACTGATGTAAATATTAAAGAAATGAGCTACTTGTGTCATAGATCATTGAACACGATGTTATGAAATAAACATTAGCACTACAGACATATCCTATGACGGGGCGTAATGGTGAAGATATCTGCAAAGCTCATGTTAATAACAAGTACAAAGCTAACTAAAACAGGGCTGCTTATTTTCGTGTTTGAATATACTGTACGCCATTCACTTCCCCTTTTGAAATCTGCCGAAACACTGATTTTGCTTACAACATGAAGTAATCAAATGTATTATAAATCATAATTAAAGAAATATATATCATAAGCTGAACGCTGTCAAGTCACAAAGTCGAATGTATTTGTATATGAATCTTGATTGATTGATAGATTGTATACTGTTTAACGTCCCTCACCAGAATATTTCACTGATATGGAGGCGTCACCATTGCCGCTGAAGGGCTGCAAATTTAAGCCTATGCTCGGCACTTACGGCCTTTGAGCAGGGAGGGACCACACCTGCTGTGACACGGGGCCTCGGTTTATACGGTCTCATCCAAAGGACCGCCCTATTTAGTCGCCTTTTACGACAAGCAAGGGGGTACTGAGGACCTATTCTGACCTGTAGATCTTGATCCCAGACATGAAATTGTGAAAAGTGGGCTTGGGTAAGGGTTTAGTATAAAACGTTGCTACATTTATTCAATGTTACAACATTTTGAATGAACATCATTGAGAGTCAATTGATTACATTCTTTTATCCTAAATTTCTTTTCATGATCGTTTCCCACCCGATAATGATCTTATACCCAGTTTGTCATATCTGAAATCGAAAGAGTGCATGTTTAGCTAGTGAGGAAATTCCAGATCGTAGATAGAGAATGTAGAAAACACAGAGAGAGATTTAATCCTTGTTGCATGTCAAAGAATAATGGGAGAAATTGGGACATTAGTCAGCGAGATTTTAATGTTGAGGTCAAATTAGGCTTGAATTCATTCATTCTTATCAAAGTTCATCAATGCGTAAATCCCTGACAACTGAAATCTATGCCAAGGTGCTTCCTTGAACCAGATAAATCTGGGAATTCCGTTTAGTTAGTGTGTTGTTCATTCTAAATATATGACAGAGTGTGATAAATCTGTTTCATACTTGGATATTTTACTTGCAAAAAAGACGTTAATGGTAATAATCTTACAACCAAACTTTATGATAAACATGATGGCTTTAACTTTTTTATAATCAACTTCGCTTACTTATGCAACAATATACCTACATGCATACGGAGTATATATATCTCAGTTGATTCGATACGCAAGAGCTTGCTCTAAGTATAAACAATCTCTAAAACGAGGAAATTATTGACAAGAAAGTCAATGAAGCAAGAATATCATACTAATATTATATAAGTATTGATTTTATATTCGTACATGCATGAATTTGTAGCTTAAAATTGCGTTATTCAATAAAACAAAAGAAATTTAATCAAAAACATTCATTCGGCATTATGCATCAATAGATTTATCTCAGTTATTACGAGCAATAATAGAAAAAGGATTCCATCTTTTCCTACACCCCTTTGGGATCAGAACATTTTTAGATATGTTTCAATTTCGCCTATTCATAAAGAAATTATTTTTTTTATTTACGCCCCATCTGAGACATCCAGCCTGTGTGAAAGGCAAAAGTTGCTAAAACAAACTAGGGGTGAATAAATTAACGGATTTAGCATTAATTGCTTGATAAAGTATCAGTCAAATTATCCGGCGATGTGGTATACAAGTGCTGTTCAATAAATAATGTCCTAACAACGATGACATACAATATAGATATCCTCTGATATTAAGCTTGACTGAATCTTTAATGAATTGATAACAGTTGATGTGACAAATCCTCATTACATCGTTTCACTGTGAGAAGCTGGAAAACAACGGAAATTCGATGCAGTGCATTAAAAATGAATGTTAAAGAATGAATACTGTTAACTAGAGTGAAATTAAACAACTCCTGAAAATTGCTGTTAAACTTGTTAAGAATCCCCCAAAAATATACACTGAAATATTCACTGAAAAATGTGAAATATACAGCAAGAAATGTCTGCTTAACAGATACATGAGCAGTGGATTTCAATTAATATAAATGATAAAATGGACATAACAAATGGGTACCGCCCTTGGGATGTACAACAACCAAATGGAATGTACATGTACTATTTGCCAAAAGTCAACCAATTATGACTGATGATATTTAATTGACTTTAAAACACACAAAATTGATAGTCATCATTTGGGGGGTAGTTCTCACTGTTTTAAAGAGAAATTTTCTGAAAAAAATACCAAATACTCAATGGTCACTCTTTGTCCTGAAAAATGTGTGAAAACAAAATGTATTTATCCAGGATTGTCTGAAAATCATACGGATAATGAAAATTGAATCCATTGTTTAAACCCTCAAAACGAATTTACAATAAGATGTACTTGACAAAAACAGCAGAGGTATGAGAAAAACAAAGAATTGCAAGAGCAAAAAAGATATTTTGACAATTCCTTGAATATTAGTGTTCATATTGTTCAAATTTCTATTTAGAGAGGCAGTTTAATTACCGAAGAATATAGAAAGCATCTTTTATAAAACAAAATCGAGATTTTTATGAAAGAAAGAAAACAACTTAAGGATCTCCTACATTAAATTTAATAATGACAGTGTCCAATCCTACAGACAATGAAGGGGTCTCGGGGATAAACAGAAACTAAATGTTTTATCACAAAAACAATATTCTATCTTTCACCCATTGATTTGTTTCATTTTACAAACTCGAAAAAAAAAAGAAAATAAAAACCTTTCAGAAAGGTCAAACAAGTCAAAGAAATCATAGGATCTTTCATATTCCAGGACAATATCGAAAAATATGTTCTAAAACAATCAAAAATCGGATGAAAATGTCACGGACATTTGCCTAAATTCTAAGAGAACATTTAAGTGAAATCATCAAAACCAAATCATGGAAAATGTTAGTTTCTTTCTTAGTATCAATTTTTATCCAACAGCCCTCGTACAATTGGAAACTGATGAGGTTTTTTTTATGAAAGACAAATAGCGTAGTTGCTGGTCGGACACCCAAAGTAATCGGGTAAAGTGGTGGGTGTCATCGGGAGAAAGTAAGTTGTAGTTAGAAATCAGCGATGCATGTCTCTATCGATCCCTACATCACCAATCAACGGTAATCAATAACTAACACATCTTTTAAGGATCAGCCGTATGGTGAAGCATCGTTCAGTGTCCTTTAATCGGAGTTCAATGGGAGTTGAGTGATATGCAACAGACATAGGAATAACATTATTCGATGTTCGACCATCAGTGACCCATAGTCGACAGGTGTACGACCAATTTTCTACAATGTATGAACGTAACCAGCCAAGTATTGTGGGTTGATAGTGTCGATGGGAACTATCGGTCGATATCCGGCCAGCCGGATATTTGTGCCCCACGGGTCAAAATATGTTTTCCTCTGGAAAAACTCGCCATACGATCGTCGGTGGTGGAGGTGTGTTTGTAGCTGTGAAAGTTATATTAAGAACTATTTCACTGATGAGGACCGCTTTTTCATATTGCTCAGACCACCGATAACATGTACCACCGGTCTATGACAACAAGTCGATAAATCTGAGTGAGTCTGAACAACAAAAAATCAAATTCCCGAATCTTTTACATTGCTATTACTTTAAGACATCAGCAAAAATTTGATAATAGAATAGAATTTTTATCTGAGAAACCTCCATTTTCTTATTTTTCCATTAAAGTACGTATTATCTTAATGAAGTCAGTATTTATCATTTTGTATAAACTCCGATTTTATTCGTTCATTTATAGTCAAAAACTAACTAGTTCAAAATGTAAAGTTTTGTACTTATGTATTAGCCAATATTGTTCTTATTTTATATGCATTCGGGACAAGCAACTGCGATTTTTTCAAAAGTAACAAGAGAATCCTAATACTGTAAACGTATAACATTTGGTTGTGTATTCTCCTTAGCGCTTTTGGCGGAGAGAACTTCATCTAATTCATGTACAACGCAAAATGTCTTGCACATATATACAGAAAATAAAAACATTGAGAAATGCGCTTAATCAAATATATGCTAAAACTTTCAAAATTCAATTTCCACCAAATATTGTACACGTTAAACATGTTAAATACATGTATAATGCATTTACAGTATCTTTCAAAACACTATCGAATCAATGAAAAAGTTCTTTCTTTTCAGCATCTGAAGCAAATTTATAATAAATAAGATTCGTTTTAAAGTCGTTTTATTTTCATTTCTGTGGTCTTGAGTGAGTAGTGATATCCATGCCAAGTTTTCCAATTAATACCGTCAGCGTATGACACGTGATTTCCGCTGAGGTACATTCCATTCAGGTTGGAATAATGACAATTGTTATACCACCAACCACCTTTGGAAGCTTGTGCACAGTGACCTGACGTGTCGTGGTCCTTTGTGTAGAATTGTGCCCCATTATGATGAGCTATCAGCGAGTCACCTATAAAATTATTCGGAGATAATGATGCCACAATTTGATAAAGGTAAAGAAACAAAGTACAGTGCTACCTTGGTATACTCCCATTTTTTGTCAAAAATAGAATTTGACAATATAATAAAGCGAGGCTGGTAATTTATAGAGCTCTGTTCAAAGTCACAATGGAATGAGCCATACTGAACAGAAATGCGGAATTTATTTCAGTTACAATCAAATAAATGCTTGCTTTTGTACATTTGAGTGGACTTTAATTTCTGTTTTTTTTACATGTTTACTTTTAATTTTTCCAAGTATTTTAACTGAAATGAAATAAAAGTGACAGAATATTTATTTAGTTTCTGCTCTTTCGTCACGATCAAAGAACTTAACAACCCGATAATAACTACGGCGTCAATAGCAGATAAAAACTCTCGGAATAAATAGATTTTTAAGGTTTATCATCGATTTCAACTGAATCAGAAGTGGATTATTTAACTACCTTGTTCTGTTTGTTAAACATTATGAGTGACGAATGGAAAATCACGTGACAATGTAACCTATAAAACCCGGTATAAATTAATATCAAAGAACGTTTTTTGTTTACCTGCTGTCCCTTCGTAGTCTTCAACATGAAGATTATACCCATGGGCTTCATCACCGATGGAAAATCTTTTGTACAGAGCATACCTTTTTTCATTATTAAAGTCAGACATGTCTATTCGCAGTTCATAATATCCTTGATTAACAATTTCATGTATTTGGTGGTTTCCTGAAGAAAAAATTAAATTAATGGAAATTAAACTCATTAAAATGCCCTAAAGAAATATCTTTGATTATTTGTGCTCCTTAATTAATATTTCAAGAAGAATAGTTTATTTAATTCCAATGTATTTATTAGGAAAAATGTTACTTTTTATGTATAGACACTTCTAATTAAAAAAAAAATTCATAACATACCAAGCCAATATTCCCCAACTTGTTACCAAACCCGTACTTGTAGTCCTTCCAATTCCGGAAAAAGTCTATCACCCCATCCATCCGTCGCTGTATAACCTAAAATATTGCTTGACCGAATGATTTTTCTTTGTGTCGAATATTCTTTGTGTCAAATACGAACGACACAGTGCTAAATAAGTAGTAATTACCCAATAAATACTATTCAAAAAGTGGGGGAAATTGGATTTACAAGGCTAATAAAATTCAGATCATGATGTCGAGAAGGAAACAAATAACAGGAAAAAACATCACGGAAACATTTATCAATTTATTCGATACTGTGTACGTATAACCAGAAAAGGACAGATTCTCCAGAGTTATAATAATAATAATAATTTATAGAGCGCTAAATATTAATAAATTAACTCTAAAGCGCTGTACAATAAAACGCAAGCAAACATAATTTAAGAGCTATGAATACATACATGTATATAAAATACATACCCATATAATTATGTCTTCGAAATTATAACATTACATTGTACATGTAAAATACTTAATTTACATACAAAATAAAATTACGCCATATATAAAACTGTCAATAAAGGAGTATCTTTTGTGCGTACCTGCTAAAAGTTGTGCTCATAATTAAAAAGCTATTCTATAAAAATGCGTCTTTCATTGTCTTTAGAAAAAGCTTGGCCTGTTTTATGTCATTAGGAACGTCGTTAAACAAAAATGATGCTGTCCAAAAATGCGCTTTCCAACCAAGCCGACGTTCACCATACGTGTTTGTCCTAATTTAAGGAACAACTAATCATGATATTGATTTAGATTGCAGTGATCTTGTGGGCTTGTATTCCATTATAAGATCTTTGATATAAGATGGAGCGAAGCCGTGTAAGGATTGGTAGACATATATTTCAAGATTTTACACTGTGGACGAAAAGAATCGGTATCCTATGAATGTCAGCTATTAAAGGTGAATTTGCGTCCCGTTTCGATGATCTTGTAACTAAACGAGCTGTCGTGTTCTGGACTTTTTGAATCCGTTCTAGTATGGTCTTTAAAAATCCATATGGAGGGCAGTTCTCAATTTGGCAGTGATAACGGCGTTCACCTTTGTCGTGCAGGCTTCTTTTGTAAGAAAGCGCCGTATTGCTTGACTTGACGACTTAGGACACCTGCTCTTCCATAGTAAGGTGTTGATCAAAAAAGAAACCTAGATTTATCACACATGGCTTTAAAAAGACCAACTTTTCAATGATATTATCACCAACTTTTAGTTGTATTTTTGGCAGATACTTCTGGTGTTGCTTTTTGTTGAAGATTATTAACTCTGTCTTTTCTTGGTTTAGTTTGAGTAGGTTCGATGTCATCCATGAACCAGTTTCTCTAAGGCACTCTTCAGTCGAGAGAAATATTAGTAATTGTTCCAATTTTCCAGTGGTCTTATAATCCTGTAGATTGTGTATCATCTGCATATAAAGCAGTGATATATCATTCAGTGTCGATGGCATATGATTCAAATGGGTTTGGAGAAGAGGCAATACAATTTCGGTCCGAGTACAGATCCTTGCGGGACACTAAAAAGCAGCTGTCAAGACTCTGATCGGACGGATCCAATTGTGACACATTGTTTTCTGTTCTTGAGGTAAGACTTGATCCACTCAAGTGCACCATCAAAAATCCATAAGACACAGTTAGGCGTTGTAATAGTATCTTATGATCTATTAAATCAAAAGCAGCGGATAAATCAAGAATGATAAGGACTGCTGAAGATTGTTGGTCCAGAGCTGTCACATGCCCTTATTGTGGACCTTGATGACGGCCGTTTACGTGGAGTGCCCGGGATTTTGTGCCGACTGAAGTGCATTCGCGAAGAGAATTCGCATCCAAGTGGGTATCAATCCTACGAAACACAACTTTCTCAATTTTTTTTGAGATTAAACTCAAGTTGGATACGGGTTGATAGTTTTTAGGGTTACAGTTAGGGTCGACAACAACACGTGGCCACAAAGCCAATTTACCACCATTCTGAAACAGAGTCAGTAGATGATATATCCCAATCGGTTAGCCAGACAAGCTCGGATTCGGTGTTGCATACTCTTAAGGTCTCAATACTGCAGCACGTTCTTGCACATTGGCAGGAGATTGTTGACGTTAGCATAGCACAGCCATGCACGATGGCGAAAAAAAAACCCAGACTGAATCCGGGCCATAGGAATGTGGTAATATTCTGTTGTTTAGATAATCTGTAACGATCATGGAGCTATGGCATCTTGCATTGTCTCTTTGAAAAATGAAACGACGGCTAATGCAACGTGTAAAAGACACAACATAGGAAAGACGTTGTTCCGGTAGGATCTAGACTGTCTTGTGCAGGTGTAACAACATACATGCAAGTCTGTTCTGTTGGCAACAGTGATGTCTCCCCACACTTTTACAGATCCACTTCCATATCGATCATGTCTAATGGCGTTAACGTCATGGACACGTTCGTTACGTCGACGCATAACCCTTCTGCGTCTGTCCAAGAAGTCGAAAGTGAACCTCAACTCATATGAGAACATTCAGTAGTTCCATCGGCGATAACCCTAGCTTTGATGGTGACAAACCCTTTTCTGGACCAAATTTGACGTTCCCTGAAACTGAGAATGACACGTGGACGACGGATATGTAATTGAAATCTTTGCAGTCGATTCCTGATGGCTTCTGGCCACTCACTGCCAAGCCAGTATCCCTTTGAAGATATATTATCTGTTTTGCTGTTACCAGACGATTTCTCAAGGCAATGGTGAGGATAAAAATGTCCTGAGCCTGAGTTTTTACACATAAGTACTCTGAAGTTGACATCTGAGCAAACCGAGTAGCTTGAGTCTGACCATAGTCTGCTTTTAACAGACTGGGAAACATCCATTGCCCTTGCCACAGCTACCTGTCTTGTGCCAACCTGTAGCATGTTAAGGGAATGTATCCTTCATTATGTGTCAAACTTCGGATGGTTTTTATTTTATTAACGACTTCAACAATTGAAAATGAAATGCTTTTTCTTCAAAACTTTCATTTAGATATTGTTTTAACCTTTTAACTCAGAGGCATTCAAATTAGCGGTATCACAGCCCTACTCGGCAGCAGCATCCCTTGTAGATCGTTAAAGTGTGATTGGTGTGTTTGGGCATTGAGTTTCTTTGAAAATACTTCCTTTGTAAGGGATTTTACAACATGGTTCATTATCCCTTTGTATATGTAAACTGTTATTTTTATAAACTACAGTATTCCCTATCTTTTTCAAATAGCAATATACGTTTGTTATGTGTAGATACTAGATGGGCATGGTCATAAAGATAACTCGGAAAGGTAATTATATGCTGATAAGTCACTTGCAAATGTACCATTACCACGCCAACTGGTATCTGCACATAACCAAACGTATTTCATTATATAAAAAGGTAGGGGATAGTTAAAGACTACTTTACAAAATTAAAAAACGATACCTATAACAGTAAGCAAAAAAATATCAGAAAAAGGTCATTTGAACCAATAGTTTAACTAAAATAAAAAATTTGATTTGTTATAAAGTGGAAGCGTCTAATGATAAGAATGACACCAACAAACCGTCCAACCACCACCATCTGTGTGCTGGTCACAGAAGACCTCCAGCTGTCCCCCTCCTTGTGGATAGATCGTGTACACCTTGCTCTCCATGTAACCCTCCCATAATACATCTTGGCAGTCTCTTGGAAAATTTTCTACTACACAATTAAAATAGACAGTGTTTATGAAATTAGTCTTTTTGGGGTGACCGATTATGCATCAGTTGTAAAAACGATAACTATATACATGGTACATTAAGTTTTTATTTTCAAGATATTTTTCGCAGATTTGAAAAATATGATAATTTCACATACGAGAGTTGATCCAAAAGTTCGTGGAATTTCTTTCTAAATTTTTTTCTTGATTTGATGAAAGCAAACAACAAACACATTTATGAAATAGAGTCATAATACAACAATACTAGAAAATTTCATCACTTTCCAATACCAATAAGGCCACACGAGCTTTCTGAAAATAGATAGTTGTGAAACCCTGGGGAAACTTTTACGTTACGCCAAGTTAGATATGTCGCGTCACGTTATACATTGTAGAAGCATTTCATCCTAATGTCCAATTCGAATACGTAGTTCTACCAATAATGCCTCTTTTCTCCATTGTTTGTTCTCAAGAAAAGCCTGGGTATCCTCTCGCACAAGGTCATCTTTATTTTTCACTCATATTACAAAATGCTCCCAATCTTTCCACATGATGTTCCAATTTCAGTAGCAATGTCAAGAAGAGTACATCAGCCGACAACGTCCTTTAAAGGTTTTAATTTGTCTAGGGCGATAAACACTTACAACAGATCCTCAAAAAAGCGGCCACACATTTAATCACCGTCCACAGAAGTTCCATTTTTCTTAAGATTCTTATGTCAATGAAAACCAGTAAATAAATGCATTTTCCCCAGCCTGTGTCAATAATATATGCGTTTCAGTTGAAGTGATCCCAGGAATTAAAAAAAATGACTTGACTGAAATTTGACATTGTCGAACACCTTAAAGATGAACAATAAATCATCAACTAATTAACTAAACATCCAGTAAAATCAGTAAAAGTCTCAGACAAAGGTTTTTACAAGATCAAGCAATCGTAATAATGACATAATTTTCGTTTTATATACCACATAGGGTGGTTTAATTCTCATTTCACATAAATAAAATATGAACAAATTCCACGAACTTTTGGATCAACCCTCGTATAAGTATTTTTTAATTAACCCGATTAAACTCTGTAAAAAGCAAGACATAAAATACCATCCCTTAATGTTTATTTCATTTCATTTCATATACAATAAATTGAATTTTTGACCAAAGCGCAGCATTTTTTTTATTCTGAAAATTTTACATTGCCGAAATTCTCATTATGTACAATTGGCTATGTAACAGTCCGATGAATGGTCTTCATTACAATTTGTGCATTTACGATATAAATATTGTTTTTCTTCTTTAATTACATAAAACAACAATAAATAAACAAAAACACTTTTTACAATGTAAAATCGATGTTGTTCTCAGACCCTTACTGATCAAAGAGGAACAACTCTCAAAATGTAGGAGATGTTTATTTTTCTCCATTTATTCACGGTTTTCCACAGAATCAGATACATTTACAGCAAGACCTGATAAATCCGAGAATAGAATACTATAGACCTCATATATACAATGTAAGTATAGAATTGAAAAGAATTGTTCACCTGTACTGAAATTATAGATCTTCATTTATGAATATCCTATTGCAGTCAACAATGTTGGTTCGCATTTCCTCGAATCAAAACAAAACGTAGCCTTTTAGATTTTAAAAAATATCAAAGTGCGATTTCATATAAATTGAAATAGATGAAGACTTTAATGTTTGATATTTTGAGGTTAATGTGGACGAATACGGAATTTTCATTTTAACTTTAGAAGCGACGACATTGAAAGAAATGCGTACAATATCATGAGGGGTGTACATCTATGCAAATGTCGATGTATCCCCATTCCCCACGGCCACATACTGTCTCGTTTGAAATAATGACATGAAAGAAACTACAATTATTCCATTTATATCACAGGAGAGTTGACATACATCATTTTTTTAATGAATAAAATTAAAGAAATAAAATTAAAAATCAACATATTCAAGTTCACAAAAACTTGAATTCGTATCCAGGTTTGTGATATGGAATGCATAACGCATACATATTATATGGACTAAACACTAAAATCCTTCAGTAATTTTTTCCTGATACATATAAAAAGAGTAGTCAATATTTATTCTGCATTCATGAATTTAAAAACTAATGCACACCTCCGGGATTCAAATGACGAAATACCAGTATATTTGCACTGTAAACGACGTTTCGTCAAACGCTAATGGTCTGCGACGCAAAAAAGGAAGGGGTGGGGGTGATAGGGGTATTCAAAAATTTCCTAAAAATCTACATTTAAATAATCTTTACATATGAGAACTTTTAAATTTGTAAGTTGATATATTTTTGAAGGAAAGGCAATATTCCAATTTAATTTTTTTAATGTGTATTTGTAGATTCATATAACAAAGTGATCGACCCAAGTCTGAAAGACGCGCGGGAACGTGATTTATTGAGAAAGGGGGAGGGGATAATTTTCCGCTATTAAATCAAAACTGGTCGTACAAAAATTATACAAATTATTTTATAGATCTTTGAGTCATCCTTTTTAAACAATGGTATCAGCATTGAAAGGCCGATATTAGCTCTTTAAAATATCATTTTATATTCATTTTTTTGTATTTTTTCAAAGGAAATGAAACAATTATTTATATCCAAATAAGATGTTTTCGAGTTAAAAGTTTGCTGTAGATGAATGCATCATATGAATATCTAATAAAATATGTAAAGAAAGGCTGGTAAGACTTTAAAAATTTTTTATAAAAAATTATTTATGAAAATAAAACACATTATTTGTGAATTTTTATTAAACCTATGGTTAAAAACAATATAAAGCTAGTCACAGCTAAGAACAATATGTTTGTCAATCATATTTTAAAAAGAAATTGAATCGAAATTGAGAAATTTTAGAGAAATTCATTTTTTTTAATATTTTGACCTAACCCGATCTAAATTAAACTGATCCCGATCAAAATTAACACAAAATGAATAAAATGCTAATTTATTGCCTCTTCATGTATTTACAATGAAGAAATCTATTTTATTGTCAAGTTCAATAATGTTTTAACCCTTATTACACCTAATCAGACTAGGATTCTTGAGAAAATGTTCTTTATTTCCAATAATTGTAAAATTATGGTTGGGATCGGTTTAATTTTGATCGGGATTGGCTAAAATTAAAAAAAAAATAATTTCTCTAAAATTTGGCCACTTCATTTCAATTTCTTTTATAAATATGATTAATGAACATGTTCTCCCCAGTTGTGACTGGTTTTTAGAAGATTTTAACCACAAGTTTAAAAAATATTCTCAAATTATGAATTCATATAAAAATTTTGTGTTATTCATATGAAAAGTAAAAAACAATTCAAGTTAAAGATCTTCAATTTCTTTCATTAATTTGTTTTCATTAAAATTTTACAAACACTTTATAATGATGTTAAACGTTCTAACAAAGGTCTTTGTTATTTAACCCCAATAACAGAAACTACAATTGTAAGACTGCATCAAGCAGTGTAAAATCTTAAAAGGTCGAAAAGACCGTAATCTAATATTAATTTATATGAGAAATTATACAGAATGGTGATGGCAAAAAATTAAAATGTTGAACATCAGAGAGAATTCTTAATTCAACAGTATTTTAAAATTTTGACATTTGCTTCGTTTACACAGAAAGTAAGACCATAGAAATGAATTCATCCAAATATGTGTGTGTATCCTTAATTTGATATGAATGCTTATATTAAAATATCTAAAGCAAATAAAATAATACAGCACTTATACAGCAGATAAGAAAATAAAATAATACAGCACTTATACAGCAGATGAGATAAAACAGTATTTAAATCTTTATAATCTTCATGCTCATTTGTGTTTTTTGCACACTGACATACCATTGTGTAAAATTTTATATTTTTTTTACAGTTAAAAAAAATATTCAAAACAATGTATGTGTGTACCAAAATGGTCATTTTTGCTGTCAAGCATTACAGTACATTGAATAAGTAGGTTAAAATGTACAAAATAAGACTATCACATGAAGCAATCAATAGAAATTAGCAGAATAAATGGATGACATAACTGTACATGCTCAATGTTGTTACCAGTAATCAAAGACATATTACTACCTGTGTTAATATTCAACAATAATGCTTTTACAAAATCAATCCTCTAGATGAAAACATGTTTTCCCAACCTCTACACTATCAGGACTACTATTTGCATATCTATATTGAAAAAGTTCAAAAGATACTCAAAATTGAACACAGCTAGACAACATTAATCAAAATATTTACATCTGGCATTTGCAAAACTGAATCTGTTTAAAAAATAAACAGTATTTCTTGTATGTTTCCAAAATTTCTTTCTAACATCTTTCATCTCTTGCTCAACACGCACAGGCAACAAACCATCTTTAACACGACATCCCTCACTAAGACAGTCATGCACCAAACAAATAGTACTCAAAATCCTAGACGCAGGAACAACTTCAAAATCCTCGGAAAGAGCGACTCTCTCAAAGGCAAAATCATCCAGTCTTGAGTCGTTCAACCGTTCCACTTTGCGTATACGTGCCAGTTGAAACTGTGTACATTCAGAGGTTGCAATCAGCCATCCCTCTTCAAATAAGCCAACTTCTTCCTATATTTTGTATAATGAAAATCATGATCTAAAAGCCGAATTTGTAACCAGTTAGCTGCTATAAATATAGTTTTATTCAATTAGCAAACAAAAAAACATGTATTCAAAGTAGAAGTCTTGACTAAATGAATAGGAGCTATAATTATTTTAGGAATTCTTATACATGATAGATATAACATGATTATGTCTGATTGGGATTTTTTTTTTTATAATACATAATTTTAAAATATTTTTCAACACTGTCTTTTTGTTACCTTAATGCCATCTACTTTGTATAAAATGGGAGTTCCTTTGTTGACCAGCTGTTCTGACTGGGCCTTAATGGAATTAAACTTAGTTCGTTTGGCCCCTGTGAAGTCAATGTCATCAATAATCAATGACAACATTTGAATGGTCTCATCATCAATGAACTCCCACAGCAAAGACCCATTTTGCCTCTCCATTGCCTTCCTAAGCTTCATCGACTCATTAGACTCATTACATGGCATGCCCAAAAACTGTCTGACTTCTTTACAGCTAGCTGTCATTTGAACAGACACTGAAGCTTGTAGCCTACAATGAATGAATTCAGTATACAAAAATTATATTATATGTCAAATAAACTGTATGGCAATCTTCTAAGCATTAGATATGGCATCAATTTCTGTTCAACTTTTTACAGCTAGATTTAGGATTCTCATGTGCTATACATTTATTAATGGTACATTTATTTGAATATTAAAATATATCCATTTCTATTTTTTTTTCCTAGAATTTCATGTTTTCCTCATTTTAGCATTAAACAATTTTTGAAGTCCATATTAAACTTTGTTGAGCAGATAACTTGTATGTATGTCTAATACATTCTTATTCTTGGATGTCAATTAAGTACTATAAATGTGTGCAGTTAAGGTTTCATTAAACATTTAGAATGGACCATCCCTGGTCAGCGGTAACATATTGACCCTTCAGTTTACACATACTGTAAAATCATATATTTTCGAGCTGTCAAAATTTCGTGGTTTGAGGAAAAATTCTTGTTTCATAGGGATTTCAATTTGTGGATGAACTAAATGTCATTGAGATGGTGGCCATCTCAAAA